TGAATAATTTGAGGTAAATGGTGTGAACTTACCTATACTTCCGAACACATATGCATTTGCCAGCGCGTATATTAATATGAGATACCAAGGTGGTTGGAAATCATCATTTGACTTATACGTCAAGGATAACAACAAAATGATCGATAGGAAAAGGAAAAACCACCACAACCACCAACTGAAGGTTATCAACGATACATTCTTGATAAGCTGCATTCAGGGTGAAAGAATCGGAATGAAATCGAGATGAAGCTTACAATCGTTGGACAAAGTTTCTCCACTCGTATATGTAAAGAGACAATGAAGTAATCGCAAGAATAATGAATATATGAGCGGCAAAGATAGCCCAAACTTTACGAACGAACGCTGTCGAATGCAAATTGAAATCAAAGGGGTAAGCCACGTCCAATACATCCTGAGTACAGTTGAAGCCGTTCAACAGTGTGGTCCATATTATAAAACTCACTATGGACTCAAGAAAACCCATAGTTGAACTGACCAAAAAATTTTCTTAATTAAATTTAAAATCTGCAAGGTTGCGAACTTCAACTGTACACGATAAAATATGCTGTATACATAGTTACCCATTTGGACAGAATTGCTACATATGGACACCGGGGTGCCAAAAGGGTACAAGGGATCATTTTCGCCCTCATCAACGGCATCGTTACGTGCGTTATTCTCGTTGAATCCTTGTTCCATGCTGACCGTCAGTAGGCTAAAACAACTGGTAGAACATGCGTAAATTTGCGACACCAGATAATCTATTATTTGATATACTGTATTACTATATTACACAAATACAGTATTACTGATGCATATAATTTAAGTAATAGTAAATTGATTCTTCTATCAACAAACTTATATTAAGTTAAAGTTTTTAAGTTTGACCATAGAAATAATATAATGCTTCACGAGTACTTTGAATAAAAATCATTTTAATTATTTAATTATTTACTTCTTTATCGAAATCAATTATTTTTTATTTATTACTTAATCTTTTAATATTATAGATATTTTCACTAAAGGACTTGAGTTTCTAGGAGCAAATATTTCTGGAACATTCTTTCCAATCACCAATAACATCATCAGAACACATAAGTATTTTTTTTTTTAATGCTGGCTTTGCTAACAAAGTTTTACTATATAGATATATTTGTTCAAGAGAAAACAATAATAAGCTAGTAAAATAATAATCAGTTAAAAAAATCACCTCATGGCTGAGCCATCTTCAAACAGAGACCTAATAAAGGGGCTATTAGGGTGATGAAAAATTTTAAGGGAGGGTTGATGTGTGTATTAAATTTATTTTATTATCTTAACCTAGAAAAAGGGAGATGTGTATTTATATATTAATCTTTTTGAATAATTATTTACTACTAGAAGAAATAATTTGAGACAATAGTTATATATTAATCAATAAGAAAGAGAATTCTACTCATATCTTAAAAGGACTTGATGAGAAAGAAAAAATGGTAATCTATTATAGAATCGATATTTGAGATTATACTATTATTACCATTTCTTTATCATTAGCTAAGTACTCTTCGAAAACTTCATTGGTCAAGAGCACAATGTTTATTCCTTAATTGCTTTCAGTACTTTCATATTATGATTCTTGTGTCTTCCAGTTTTGATTCTA